TCATATTTCACGAAAGTTGCATCCCATCTGAATATTGTATGGGTAGATTTCCGCGGGAGCTGTATTGCGCACGGCGGAAATAATGGCAAATTGTAATTTTCAGTGAGCCAATCCATGATACAGCGTCCCGTTACAATTTGAATTCCAATCTCGCCGTTCACAGCGATCGCTTTATCGGGATAATTAGACTCGTTCAATTATTGAACGAATGCATTTGTACGACAATGCCCACATTAACGGCAGCTTCATTATACATACAACTGCATATTTAACGAAAATTATGTTTCACAATATTATCGAATATCTTTACGAAGAAAGAATGTGGTACACGTCCATAGAAAGAATGGTACTACTGAACGCTCAAGATAGTACCGGAATGTCGAAACTTTTTATATATGGCATTGATTACACCGTGTGACCGATTTCAACTTTTAAAATTTTCCAAAGGGCGCGTGGGTTTGATTGTGTCGGGAACACGGCCCACTATCATTTTCCCAAGAGATTTGGTAAAGTTAGATCGTAGAAGAATGGGGCATAAAATTTGAAGTTATTAATTTCGAGGAGTATCAGTTGCGCTATTCTCATGGTTTTGAGATCAAATATTATCACAAATACGTACACCATACATACACATACTCACACTCACACTTATGCGCGCGAGCGCGAACTTTGTTTTACAAATACATGAGATAGCAAATGATAGTAGGATCTGTGAAGCTGGCACGACATTTTGTCGATATCAAAAAAATTACAACAGTTCTAGTAGCACTTTTCATAGTTCTACAGTTCTACTTAGAAATAAAAAATAGTTCCGCAGTTTTAATATGAAAAAACTAAAATTGGAAATATGGCGTGCTAACTACGCGAATCTGGCACGTCAGATTTCCTCTAAAGTACGAGAAAAAAATTAATATTTGCACTTTTAGCAACAGTTCCCGATAGTTCTACTAAAAATCAACTAAGTTATGCATTTTTAAAATAAAATAACAACATTTAACAATTTTTATACATCCTATATATAGAAAATAGCATAAAACTTCTAGAAAAAGTGACGTGCTGACTATTTCTATCAGTTTCAACGGCAGTTCTCGTTAGTTCTCACAGAGTTCTATGCATTGCAATCATTTATAAGCAGAGTTCCGGCCTCTACATATTTTTAAGAACCAAACGCGCCCTTTGGAAAATTTTTGTGGTCACAGAGTGTTATTATACTTATAAGTTTCCATTATTTTGATAGCCAACTAAATTATTTTCAGATTTATATATATATAGACAAATATGTATATCTACCTAAATATTTAGACTTCAGCAAAATCGTACTTTCGGTGTCGATACTTGTGCATACATATTAGTTAGCACAATTTAGTTACCATTTAGGATCGACCGACAACAAATTGCGGAGGTGCCCAGACTACGAAATCAATTGTCAGCCACAATTTCCTGCTAAAAGCGTTGCTAGATTAAGATCCAAATGATTCACGCGGAATCGCAGTTATATTGGAATCGTCCGATTGGCTATAAGGCCTTTTTAATTGTTTAACTCTCAATTTCACAGCAATTGTACACGGAAAAAAGTTTTACTGAAGTATCTAAAAATTTAATTAAATATGAATCTGAAAATAACTTTATTAAATCATCTAAATAATTATGTATGATACTCAAATAAGATGAGCATCCTATAAAAAGTTTTAACATTCTAGTAATCAGTTTGAATCCTATATAATTATTTTGATTAGAGTCTAACAAAGTTATTTTTAAATCTATATTCAGCTAAATTTTAAGATATATTTTAGCAAAATCATTCTTCTCGTATACCTTTTAATACGGCAAGTTGAATCTCCCAATAATCGCTGAAGGCATAATTTTGCTCACAAATAGTTTGTAAAGGTCAATACATAAATTTTACGTACATTTTTTATAGCATATCTAACGTTAAAAAGGTTATGCATCACAAAATCGACTTCATTATTAACAGAAAAGTGAGCACATTAAAATAAATCGCGTGAACGTTTTCCGGATAACGTAAATGAAGAAATGATTAATACAGTGACTAATAACTGATTAATAACAGTGACTAATTGTCTTAATTAATAATTAGTGACTTAATTGTCAATACTTTCGTCGTAAAATTCTATTTTTAATGATTTTTAATATCAATCATTCGAAATCGCGACCTACCGTGAGAAAAGACAGATTAACGTTATATGACCGGATAAGTCGTGACATCGGAAATCGTTAAAAATTGAAACCAGGCGCCAGACGATGTGGCAATAAATCGTGGGATTTAACGTCGAAGATACCGTACCGCAATGGATTCTTCGTTGCATATAAATCTAGTATGGTGTCTTTGCGGTAAACCCCACGGTGCATTTCGCTGCAGCTATCGATTTGATCGTTCATCGTAAGTGTGGTATGTCTCGAGCACAATGCGAAGATTCGCTCGAGACGACTCGCCGTTCCTTCGACTCATCCCGAAAGTCGATCTGCGCGTTGGCTGTACCATAAATCGTCGTCGTCCGCGATAAGTTCTTCTCGAACGCCTCCATTCTATGGGAGATTTGGATTCTTTCGGAAAACATTCTACGGACGTTAATGTCTTTCATTCATCACACTAAACTATACGATATAATGATGATGGAATGTCGGAGCTGCTCTATTGTTTTAATTGCAAATTCTAAATTATTCGAATTACGAAAATTTATTCACGTATCATTAAAAACAAAATGAAAAGGCTTTTTAAAAGTTCGTTCATTAATTAACTTATATATAATTATTACATACAGTTATATACATTCATCACACAATTATATTACATACCTACATTGTACAACAATTATAGAAATCTTGATGAGAAAAAGTATTTTTAAAAATAAGAGAAATTGTTATAATTATATCATATTCTAACTTTATAAATCATATTTTAATCTCAATTCTCACGTTTCCCAGACTCATAAATTTCGATTGTAATCAGATCGTAATAGAATTTCTGACAGACTTAAATTTTAATCCGTCTCCGAAACTACTAGGTAGTTAAAGTTAAACATCTCTTCCCATACCCTCGTTACAGAAAGACTGGATCGTTTTCTATGATAAGCGATCGATTAATTAGGAATCTTATTCTGTCACGGCACGGCGGCGCAACGACGGCATTACAGTATGTAATGGCGGTTCTATACCGCGTAGCAAATAGTAATCTGTCATCAACAGTCCATAGGCGACCTAAAATCTTCCGGAAGCCATCAAACTGATTTTGTGGGACACCGCGTGTGTCTCAAGATAATCCGTGACTAATGAATTCTCTTGTCGCTTAATCGCCTTCCACACCAATCACAAGGAACAGACGGCGTTCGTTACTGGAGGGCATAATTGCGGACAAATTTAGTAGATATCTGTTAGACCAAGACCGTAGCCGACTCACTCAGGAAATAGAAAACAAAGTGTAAGACCTATCTTTTTCATTACAGAAAGAAATTGTAAGAGACAGAATTTCCCGAGAAATGAATTTTTAAATTGAAATTTAATACACACTTTGAGAACATGATCTAATTATTATTATAGCAGGATAGTAATTTCCTCGTTTTATGTACAGGTCTGTTTTGTAAATTTAATGAGTTTATAAGAACTAATCTTTGCCACACCAAATTTCAAATTTTTTCTTCATCCATTTATTTTAAAATTTTTAATCTTTGATATGAATAGTGAAATGTAAGTTCGTTCTTGAATGTTTCTTGCCATACCACTATATTGCTTAAACTTGAGCATACAAGAACAAAATTGGGCTTAGCATTTGCAATTGGCGTTCTAGTTTGCGTCTGTAATACCGTCTTGCATACTAAAATCCAATTTGCGTTCTGTTGTTGTACCGAATTCGACGTAAAAGATATGTAAAAAAAAAGGCTCTTTGGCTTTAATTCGTTACAGCGGTATAGAGACCTTTAATGAACGCGACGATATTATTTTACGCTGCAACCGGTGAGCAGCTTTGTAACAACGACAGTTGACCTCTATTTTTCCGTTTTGCTCGGTATTGTCGTAAAAATCTAAGATGAACCAATTTGCATAGCTTATTTCCTCAGATTATGCGACGGGGGACATTGTTTCACGCCATCGTTCAGAGGAATAAAAGTCGGGTTCCACCGCGCTGCATAATTCGCTCGTAAAGATAGGAAGGAAACGGTGCTTTCGAATGCTTCATAATGGCAGTTCCAAAGTGGTGCTCGCAGCACCGTTGTGTATTCATCAAATCGCGACACTTTTACGCGTTCTACATACATTTCCTGTAAAATATCCCATCTCTTTGATTTCCTCCCTCCCTTTCTATTGTGCGACGTAGAATTAAATTAAAAGGGTTTATAATGATAATGCATACTTCTATGTAAATGATTAATTGCAACATTAACAGTATTTTATCAGAAATATCAAGCAAATGTTTGTTATATAAAATCTTATTACGCAAACAGTAAATTTTACACGTACCACGTAGCTGGCGTTTGTGTGAAAAATTCCACAACGCAATATTCGCTTCGCGTTAGTTTGATATTTCCGGTTAGCTTATAATCATTTGTAATGTCAGAGAAATCTAATTTGCAGAGAGATGCCATTTGTCATCGCACAAAAACGAATTTTAAATGACTGTCACGTAAAGAGTATAAACAGCGTAGTGATGTTGACGTTCACTATAAAAAATTCCATGAAAATTTCAATTCTCGCCGGCACAGCACGAATGAATTGTAATCGCAGTGCCAAACGCTCGTGTTATTCGCCGTGACAAATAAATGCAAGATTACTCGAATTTTGACAGTGTCACGTGTAAAATTTATACACGCCTAGTATCATTGGACCGATCCATGTAATTTTCAGCCTTTGTGAAGATTTCTTTCGAACGATTAGTAATAATTTTACGACATCAAACGTACGTAATTCGCGGTGTTGTTATTCGCGGCGCACGAAAAGCTGTAAACTCGTACACATTCTGAATATTTGTGATTTCTATGTTTCAGGTACGTATAATCGAGTCAAAATGGAATGCCGCTCCTCGGATATGACGTACGTGCCGCGAAACGTGAGTGTGGTCAGTGTGGTCAGACAGTTCCGGAGCGTTATAACGAAAGCTCTCAGCTAATACTCTGTAAACAAAAGTAGAATGCAAATAAATCGTTTACCATACTACTCTCTTGCTCTATGTCTCTCTCTCTCTCTCTCTCTCTCTTTCTCTTTCTATATGTCTCTTTTTTTTTCTGTTCTCATTGTGTGCTTTTCTACAAGCCGCTACGTCATTACACGCAGATTGGATTTCCGCGCACGGTAATGGGGATTATTCGGATTACTTGCGCATACCGAAGCTTGCAATGTTATTTGCCTAATTAATACCCAAATCGCAATGCTTGCCACGCCGTAGTGGTCGCGCGCTTCGATCATGGTAGAGATCATTGAGTTACATTGATTTTATCGACATCATATTGTGAGAAAATCGGATAATGATGTTAATCTTGAACGAACGTTTGCATTGTTGCTTCGGTTCAGTGCGCTGTAAACCTGTAATATTTGTATCGCTACGCCAATAATCACGTTCAATAAATATTTAGCCGCTTCGCTCGTCTGTCGCTTTTCAAGAAAATTGGCTTACTTTTCGCTTGTTTAAATATTATTAATGAAGATAGGACGAAATCTTGAAGCTTCTCATTTTATTCTCCTCGCAGCAGCTCTTGTTAAGCCCTCATTATGATTTTATTATATAAACAATGAATTCGAAAGAGATTTCAATTTTGTACGACATGCTCCTTTGTCAAAGCTTACATAATATTATACTTAATCACGTTGTTTTAAATCTTCATTTAAGTATCTCACGCTTGAGGTAACATTTCAGAAAATTTTAAATCGCCAGAGACCTTGAATCGACGCGCCGAATCGAGACGAATCAATTTATCGGGGCGCTTATCTATTATTTAATTGTCACACACAGTGTAACAAACACTCAACGTCTCGAGCTTATTCCAGCGGCATTTGCATGGACAGTCTTCTACACACGCGCATACATACGCATACGTACACGTAGATATACCCATCACAAATGTGCATTTATGTCAGGGTACTTTATCAACTACATCGTCTCTTAACTAGCGTGGTCACGGGGGAATTAGGACGCGAGCCGACAACAACGACGAGGGTTTCCCGTATTTTCGCAGAGAAAGGCGATACGGCGCCCCTAAGTGACTTTATCCGATCCGATGGTCGTTCTCCTCGTCTGAAGTCGTGCGTTCCGACTGGATCGACTTTCAGCTCTCGTGGGCCGCATAGGGAGCGGCAAAGCACGACTTGGATCTTATAGCGGACTCCTGCCCTGTACAGGCTACTTAGATAAATAGAGCGGACGTGCACTCGATGTTAGGCAACGGAGCTGTGAGTGGAAAGTGATGGTTACTGAGTTAAACGACGATGGAAATCGCGTGGAAAGAGAGATAGAGAAAGATAAAGAAAAATAGAGAGAGAGAGAGAGAGAGAGAGAGAGAGAGAGAGAGAGAGAGAGAGAGAGAGGGGGGGGGGGGGGGGGGGGAGAGGGAAGATTTGATGGACCGGAATAGACCATTACTCCATCTCGATCGAGTAGCAAATACTCCGCTCTCGAGAAATTCAGTAGGCTACTATCGATTCCCCTGGTCTACGAAGACGGCCTTTCGTCGGAGCTACTCCGTAATCTCCTTGTCCGGCAGACAATATCAGCTTGATTTCTCTAGTCTTCTTTTTTGTAATAATCTCGAACAGCTGCAACTCAGCGGCCCAAGGACAATTACATCCCGTTAAATTCCGTCTACAGTTTTTGCATCGTCGGTTTTATAAAGACCGGTAGCACTTTGCAGATCTTCCGGGTCTTTCGCGCGTCCGAAAATCAAGGATTCTCTAAACACGAGCGCACTGAACGGGTTTCAGCGAGATGAGTATAGACGCCAGAACTAAAGCTGAGCTTACGTAGATATTTGCATCGCGCGGCTGGATTGTAATTCGGGTATTATCCATTGTTTTAGATCGGATCAACTGTATTGTATCCAGCTGTGCATGGATTACATGGTATATGTTGTCTAATACACATAAAACGTAGGTACTCAATGTTTTATATTCTTCGACCAAATTAGCGTCTATTGCATTTTGTGTTACAGCTACGGAATTCGTATTTGTGTGTATTCAACAGAATCTTAAATAAGAAATTCATGACGCGTCAATGAAACTTTAATTCCGTTAAATGAGCATACATTGAAGCAAAATCAAAGGCATAGGAAATACATTATAGAAACATGCATATTAAAAGCTATTGCTCGCGATCCATTCAACCATTATATTTTCTTTCAGTGCGTGAGTACGCATTAATGTATTTTGCGTAGCTCGAGTGCATTGGAAAAGCTATTGTTAATTCACAGAGGATGAAACAGTCGTTTCGCGATATGTCCAGGGTAGTACAGTGTTTACCGCCAACATCACTATCACAACAATAGCATGCACATTGAATTTTTAACATGGCGAGTATACAGATATCACGTACGCGATGTACCGCTTGCATTTAATATCACTCCACGAAGTATTCAATCGTTCGATCTTCTTCCTACCATGACGTGTCGACCGCATCCAAAAAGAGAAGCACGTTCGCTGTGCAACGCGAAGAGGCTCGATAGACTACAATCCGCAAACTCTCGACCACAGTGAATTTTTCATTCGTTCTAAAAATATCGGATTATCATATGCGGTGAAATGAAATTCGTTTAGTTTCATTGTATATTAAAACTTCTGCGCAAAATTTTTGCACAATTACTAATTTTAATGATCTTTATACAAATATAAATTATAATCATATACATTTCCTTGCATAAAATCACTGATGATAAAGTATAAAAAAAGAAACACTTATCATTATTTTCTACATTTTTTTTACAAAAAAAAATGTTCAACGTATTGTACATGTTATATGTAAGTTTATTTGTTATACAACGATCATTACGTAGATTACGTGATTTATGCAAGACATAAAATACGCGCAAAGTATTGACGCTATGGTGATTAAAATTTAATGGTTTCATATAGCATCAAGTTTTTCTTTTTTTGCAACTCATTAACCGTTCAAGTTATCTCTTTGGAAAATGCTTTATTACATCTAAAAGTTTGCTTGTTTATAAATTATAAATAATTTTAAATTATAAATGAAAATTTATAAATTATATCTTACACAATATTTAGATCCCAATTAATCCGGAAATCACATGACCTGTTTTCGTTCATGCACTAAACTTACGTTATTAATAGTGTATGTTCCGCGAGCGATTATGCTATTTCAACCGTTAAATCATGCAATTTCCGTATTTCACGTACTAAAGCCGGAATGTATCATTTTTTTGTAGCTGGTCAGAAATTGACGTGAATATATTGAAAATTATACCGCGGCGTCGAACAATGGATTTTAACGTGCTATTCGAAATTTCATCAACAATGCTCTAATGCGACGAGAGACGACGACGCGACGTGTCGGTCCGCGCAAATTGAAATGGGTATTTCACTTTGCGGAAAACCTGCGAAATAAATCACGCAGCCGAATTTCCCCGCAAAGTGGATATTTCTGATCGGAATTTATATCGGACTCCGAGGACGCCCGTATTCCTTCTCGCGTTCATCTATCTGCGTAACGTACGCGTTCCGGCGAACATTTCCAGTATAAATGGATCGCGCCACACGACAAGCATTGCGATACACTTGCAGTCGTAAATTGAACCGTAAGAGGATTCGCACGTAGCCTTTAGCTACAGAAGATCGAAGCTATTTATGCTACTATTTCCGATATATTTTCAGCACATTGCATTAACCTCTAACGTGGATGGGTTCCTTTGATATAGTCTAACTCGATATATACGCAGCTTATATAAAATCTTTTTGTAAAATAAAAATATAAGTATTAATGCTGCGACAAAGATAATGAAATAGAAGGAAAGTGAAAAAAAAACAATTTATAGAGATAAACACAGTTTACGTAAATTATTATAATAATACAGTTTTAAAAAGGATTGCAAAAATGTCCATAAAAGCTTTATAACAGAGCTGTTTGCGATCGTGTGAGAATTGTATTCGATACTGCAGAAATTGTTCGGAAAAACAATGACGCTGGGATATGTCGACAGATGTGACAGTTCTAGATATAACGGAAGAAATAATCCATGTTTGTGTACCAGAAGAAAATTAAAAAAATATACGTATGCAGATCCGATACATTTTTCCATAGCACAAATGAAGGAAGCTGCATATCCCGTAGTTATCTCGGAAAGAGTTACGTGTCTTTTACTATCGAAGTCGGCTGTATCAGTGAAGAAACAACCGTCTGTGTCGTATTATAAATCTCCTGCCGACGTGAGCGTCATTTAAATTGTCGACCGTACAGCGCAATGACCGTACCTCGAGATGCTGGCGTAGCATAGCGCGCGCGCATGTATAGCAGTTGCAGTTTCACACGACGCTAGGAGGAAAAAAACTCGTGATTCGCTAGCCCGTTCATCGGCTCGACCCTTTTTTATCCCTTCTCAGTCGTGGAAACGTGCGCGGAATGATATAAGCGCCACGTTTATCTCATTTGTGTACCTGCTACACGAGAAACGCTACACGCCGCGCTAAGCAACACAGTGTTTTATAAACGAGCTCCCCCGCACTCGCAATGCAGTTTTCCTCTTCCGTTTCCGTGGTCTACAATGCGTTCCGTGACACGCCTTTCTTACTGACCGAAACAAAGTATACAGATGTACGTTGGATGTACATAAAAAATATTCAATTTATGCGATAATTTTTTGGATTTATTTTTCATTGAAAATTTAATTAAAATTTTACAAAATATCTTTATCTCAGATATTTCTATGAGATTTTAGACAGACAGAACTGTAGCGCAGCGTGTATAGCTTCTATACATTTTCACCATATACTTTCCATCAAAAAGATTTGTGTCAGCTTTACAGTTAAGTCTGCGGCATACGATGCGTGTTTTCCTGCTAAACTCTTTGCGATTTGGTAAATTACTAAAAAGTTTGCATTTTGTGTGGTGCAATTTTAGTAATTTACTAAAACGTAAGC